TACTGCCCATCCTCCTGGTCTGAACAGAGTGAAGTGACCGCAGTTCCCCAGAGACAATTCCACAAGGCCTCAAATTTCCCTGTTTTCTCACTGCTAATGTTGTTAAGAGTAGCTAACAAATCCTGTTTCCAGTCGTTCAAGGAAATACACTCAATCTCCATCTCTGGGAGTGCTGCAGGGCATGCTCTCGTAGCTTGAGGAGCTGAGAGATGAGCTGAGGGACCATCAGAGCTGCCATCCTCACCACACTACCTACCACAGCATTCCCTAAGGAGCCCAGTTTCTTACTTCCCATGGTCACTGTGCACCTGAAAAGGAGAGTCAGAAAGTGCAAGGGCTTGACTCCTGTCCCACTCTCCTCCTTCAGCCGCTCCAGCATCTCACCTCACCCATCTGGTTCTGAGAGTCCAACCGACTGCCAGTGAGACAGAGTTGGCCACGGAGGGAATTAGGCCCAGAAAACCTTGTTCAAGAAAAGACCAACTATTAGCTCCTGAGGATAAGGATTGAATTTCATTTAATCATTTGAAAACTCACCACCTGGCACTTGGTACCTAGATGACAATATCAGTGAAATTAAATTGTTTTTAAAGGTCAGAATGCCTAAACATTGGATAGAAACAAGCCACAAATTTGACCTGTTTTCAGCTTGTCAATGTGTCTCTAACTTTCCCAGAACAGGACAATATCTCTGCTACAGAAGCTCTCAAATCCTCTGGGTCCTACTTACAAATCCCAAGGTGGTGATGGCTAAACAGTCAACATCTAATTTCTGAGAACTGACCTCAGACTGTTCAGGAAGGTCTGGTGTTTCATCCTCCACCTGCCCACACCCTCACACGTTACATAACCAAGAATGAAACAAAGTGAATTTCACACCAAATTAAGGAAATTTCTAACATCTTTTTAATCAGCCCTCTGACAACACAAGTTACCAGTACATTGCACAAAAGCAGAAACACAAAGCGAGCAAATCCAGCCCCTAAATTACTTCCTCTCAGCATCAACTGCCATTGACCACATGCTTTGACCCACATGCACATACCCAGGCACAGGTAATACACTCAACACATACATAGCACCCACTCTGAACTCTTAAGCGGCTTCAACATACAAGATATTAGGACAGCACATGGGTTCACATATGTGTTATGCCAGCCCCTAGACAATATTAAGAATATAACCCCACCCCACCCTTCACCATATGTGAATGCTGGGAGCTAGAGCATGCACATGTGTCTCTCTGTGCCCTGTGTGTTCTCTCAGGCTCTATGGGGAAAGAGGAAAACACGAAGCAGAGACCCCGAAGGCTATGAGAGTTTCCTGCTATTTGTTTCAGGGAACCACAGGCAGGAAACAGCCAGGAAAGTTATCAAGCAATCATAATCCACTCCAGAAACTGAATGTGATGCTCAGGGGTAGGTTGTGGAGGAGGGGGGAGAACAGGGAGGGAAGTCCCATCAAACCAAAACATGAGAAGTCTGTGCGATGGCAGGAAACCTACCAAGCAGGCCCCCCTTCCCCAGGGCCAAGGGAGCCGCAGGCTCCAGAGACTCTCCTCACTGCACCCACAGTGGGCATCTTCAGGCCACTGAAACACAGAGCTGTGCAAGAGGAGACACAATCTGCTCATTTTGGGGAAGGCAGGCACATGAGACAGAAATAAAGAAGAAGCATCCAGGGCTCTGCCACACCTGCCCCCGCCTCCCTGCTGCTAATCACAGAAGCAGAACTTGAGAGCAAGAAGGAACATCCACGATTATCTCACCTAAATCCAACAATTTTCAGATAAGAAAACTCAAGCGCAGAGTGGGCGAGTGACTTTCCCACGGTAACAAATGAAATTGGTAGCTTAGCTGACACGGAACCAGCTCTCTTCACTCCCAGCCCACGGCCCTCCCTGCACCTCTGGATCTCCCCAAGGCCACAGTGTGTGATCAGCCCAAAAAGTGAACTGTATAAAACTCGCCATTGTCCTCACTCAAGGTAGAGAGTGTAAGTGGATCAGCCCTGCTAGAGGATGAGAGAAAGATTCACATTTCCTCCTGTTTATTGGCATCACCTGGCTCCGAGCTCTTAGGGAGATTAACCCTCTATTTCAGAAAAGATGGGGACTTGTACAGACCACTCTGTTGGTAACAGGATTTCCACTTCACACCCTAGGCTGCAACTACACTCTCCCTACCACTGCTCTCAGCATGAGGCAGCTAAACTTCATGGAAAACTCCCTCTCCACATGAGAGCCTGGCTGGGCTTGAGAGGAACCACAGGGCAACTTCTCCTCTCCCAGGGTGCGTTCCCCACTGAGTACATGTTCACACCATGTGTGAACAATCACACCATGTTCCCCTGCCCTCCCCCGTCTCTGTCTCACGCAGGTGGTAAGCCACCCAGGGTACACACAGAGAAGTGAAACCCAGGAAACCCACCCCTGTGGGGGAGTGGGTGGGGAGAGAGTATAGAGGGGAGAGAAGCAAATGAAGGGTGAAAGGAAAATGTGAATACAAGACACTGTGTCAAAATGCCTCCTCCAGCATTAACATCAGCATGATCTCACCCATTCTCAGAATGGAATGCACCCCTCCAATAATCCAAAGAAAGCAAGCATAGACCACATTGGCAACTTCACAGAGGGATAAGAACCCAAACTGTGGGTGACTAAAGAATCCAAGATTCCATTGCCTTCCAGAACCCAGACACCCAGCGCCAACTCAGTAAGTCTCAAATATCAGTGTTTGAGAAATTCTGCTTTCAGTTGGTCCAAGGTGAGACCTATAGATCTCAGTTTTTAACAAACATCCCAGATAATTCTGATACAGATGGTCTGAGAACCACTCTGTGAGAAGCTTACTGTATCACTTCCCCACTGGACTGCTGAGAGGTTAAGAGCACCTGCTATGGAGTTCCCCAGGTGGCCTGGCTGCAAATTCTGGCTCTAACACACAAGCTGCAAGGCCCTAGGTGAATGACTACACCTTAGTCCCCTCATCTGTAACATAGGGCTAATAAAGGCGCCCACTACATGTGCTGTTGTGAGGATCAAATGATGTAATCTAGTTATTTAAAGCTTTTAGCACACTGCCTGGCACATACTAAGCACATAGTATTCGTTAGCTATAACTTGCTCTATTAGTATACACTTAGTTGCACTACTTGTCAGTTGTACAATAAATGGTAAGCACACCATGTTTTTGGTTATTAGTATGTTACGTTGCAATGTGTACAAATAAAACTCATTACTCCCAAGAAATGCAGAGGTCAAGTAACTTTTAAGCTACAGGGAGCCTTCCAAGGAGATTTCTAGACCTAGTAGACTAGCTATTAGCTTAATGCTTTTAAGTTACTTCTTCCCCTTTGTCCTCCTAGTCTCACCCTTTCCCTTTCTGCCCCAGGGACATGGTGTTCTCAACAAAACTTTAAATTTACATTGTGCTTTTATGTTTTACAATGAATGTTAAAGTGTTTTATAGGATATGTTTTGATTGCCTGTTTTTCTCTATTATCTTTTCCAAAAGTCCTTTATTTTCTTTAGGCAATTAATAAGTGACCCCCAGGCTAAGAATATCTGTCTGGGCCAAAACCCTGAAAAGTCACTCTGATCAACAGAGAAAATGTTGCAGAAGAGTAGAACTCAGCCCTGTGGCTTGTGATGAGACCAGGCTGAGCAGTACCCTACAGGCACAGACTCTGGGCTCACTCCTCTTCTCCATCTCGGCCTCCACCACTCACTCGCATCAGCCCCAGCCTTCTTCTAGAGCTTCTCCCCAATGCCCATACACTATTTCCACCTGGAGAGTCCACAGGCATCATATCTAAACCTATCCCAAGCTGAGTTTAGCATCTCAGTCCCTAGCCAACCAATCCCTCATCCTTATCTCAGGGCTAATGACGTCTGATCCACCCAAAAACCCAAACTAAACACAGCTCCAAATCATCTTCTAGCCTCCTCCTCACCACCCCCTCCTCTCTGGTCACTCACCAAGGCCTTCCAATTCTTCAAATGGCTCTCCTGTCCTATGCTTTCCTTGCCCTCTGACCTCTCAGTTCAGATCTCAGGCTCTCATGTGGACTCTCCACACCCACAGTTCTCCCAACAAATCAGCTGCCAGGGTACATGTCCCAAAACTCAGATCTGACCAGGTCACTTCTCACTTAAAGCCTCTGGTAGATCCCCATTCACAAGAGTCCAGACTCCTTAGGCTGGTCGTCAACTCTTTCACAATTTGGCAGGACCCCACCCCTCCTGCTACCAAAGAGAGCCTCAAAATAAGACAAAGCCAAAAATATCCACCCACTCCACTCTAGCCTAAAAGGCCAGTCAAACCGGGTACATGCTACCTGGCAGTTGGTCCCCTCTCATACAGACATTAGTGAAATTTATTGTATCTGATGGTGGATCCTTGGGCCATGAAGGGATGATACAGATTTCCAGTGAGGAAGGGGAAAGATAATGCATGGCTAAGGCATTCAAGCTGTAGGGCTTGAGTTCATCTAGTCAAAACTCCTCCTTGTGCAGCAGGCAAAGCTAAGGCCTAGAGAAACAAATCTACTCATTCCAGGTCAAAGCTTAGTCACCAGCACCAGGACCCAGGTGTCTTGGCCCACAATTCTGCTTCTTCTGCTGACAGGCTAGAAGACTCTCCCTAGCACACTGTCAGGGATTTCCACAACCTTCCCCTTTCCCTGATCACAACTCAAGACCCCCCACTCCACCCACAAGCCTGAAGATTCCAAGACGACCTGGAAGGAACAGAACAGGAAGTCTTGAGCTTTGGCACAAGTTCAGGGTGAAACTCCTGGGGCCAAACACAAGGGCCTTTGACTATAGGAAAAAATAGGCCTTTTGTCTTGGTGGGTGGAACCAAACCATAGCAGGAGCAAGGAAACCAGATTTTTGCCTAGAGGTCAGTACTTGGTCCTAAAATCCTAGGGTGGAGAGAGGGAAGGGAGAAAGGAACACACTTAAGAAACTAGAAGCAATTACAACAGTTTCTACTCACCCCTGGTTTTTGTTTTTTGTTGTTATTGTTTTTTTTTCCCCTCACATAGTGTTCTGCATCGCCTCTGAGTCCCCCGGGATCAAGGAGGACCAGGAAAAGGCCTGGGTCCCTAGAGGGTGGAGGAATCAAGATGAGATTTATATGGCTCCATTATGAGATGATTAGTAGAGAAAGGAGCCACACTATCCTTTCCCTAACTGCTGGTGAAAGAAAAAACAAAAATCTCAGAGCTACACATCCACCCTTCAACAAAGGAAACAAACCCTCCTGCAAAATACAAGGGACCTATTTGAGGACTGTGGCCCTGCCCACTGCAAGAAAAAAAGAGGAGGGAAAAGCAGAAGATCCTGAGCCTTTTAAACAACAAATATTTCACAACAAGCACATTCTCCCTAGCTACCAAGTCCAAAGCTACTTGATATGTTTCTGAGTTGCCTGAATGTCTTGGATCTCCCCCATAAAAGGTCTCTAATCATATTTATTGATGCCTAGAGATTCACTCCTTTGGGTGTGATCCATTGAAGTGATGGATCATTTAGATTGAAGGACAAATCTCATGCTTACCCTCAAAGAAAAGTCTATTTTTACTCTCTTCCTACCCTTGCACAGGTTGTTCACCTACCTGTAACACTCTTCCTTCTCCTGCCCCTGCCCTTAGCAAACTTAAACTGAATGCTCTCCCAGAGATCTTGAAGGAGTTCCTGCAGGGGCCCAGGGCAGACACTTCAAAATATCCCACAGTGGCACGTTGATTATTTTGAACTTAAGTTACTTGTTTAAGAGATCCTGGGATGTCTAACACAGAAGCTGGCAAAAAGGTAAGATTTCTTACCATGTCAGTCTCCCAGAACTCTGTCTGCAGAATCTGATTGGTACGAAAGTGGTGAGAGTTTCTTTTTTTTTGTTTCTCTATAAATTCAGATTAGCGGAAAATATTTGTGGAATTAGTTCCTTAGGGCCCAGCAACTCTGGCAAATTTGGATGAGTACTCTTGATTTTTGTTGAACTTTTCCTCCCAGAGATGGTCATTGCTTTCCTTTGTCTTTGTTGTGTCATTTTTTATAAGGATGAAGAACCATGGGGAAAGACAGCAGGTACAGGCCCTTTGTAAGCCTACTGCTTGAGCCAGTTTCACAGACTGTTGAGTTTTATGGTTCTCACCAGACTGGCATCTATTTAAACAAACTTTGCTCTGGGTCTTCTATGTAAAAACAGGACAAAGTTTTTCCTTCCATCTTGTTCTATGTCCTGAGAGCTTGGTTTTGTGACCACTGAATGTATTTTCTCTGGCTTTCAACATCCAGAAGGTGCATTACTGGAATGTACCTGGTGGTCAGTCAAATAGACTGGAGTTCTGAGACAAAAAGTCACAAACAGCTCTCTCTTTGTCTGCTGGTGCCAGCTCTCAGGGGGGTTTGTCATAAGGGGTTCCAGTCCACAAGGGGCTTTTGTCATATTAACCTTCATTGTTAGTGCTGTAAAAGTCCCATTCTAGTAGTGCCTGCCTGGCGTCATAAACTAGTGGGTTTGTGACTGGAGTCATCCTGTGTTCCTGTGGGAGACTGGAGACATCGTTTTCACTACACCATGCTTATCACCTGTGCAATGAAGGCCTTTGATTTTTTAGCCTGTACTTTTGGAGTAAACTTTCTGGATCTTGTGAGGACTTCATCATTTGCACTCTCCTTTAGGGACACATTGTGTCTTTGGTTAAGCTCTATAAAAACTTATTGGTTTGAGTCACTGTTAAGAGCCTACTTGTTAATGGCCAGATGATGTATCCTTTAAATTGTCTATACTAGAAAAACATCAAAATCAGGATATTGAAAGTACAATTGTCCTGCACTTAAGAAAAGCAGGAAAAATTTAAAAAGCAATTACTCTGAAACTCCCAGGACAAAAACTTCCATTTTTGTTCTCTGTCCTTTGAAATTGTAAATTTTACTGTCTTTGGAACATATAAATACCCCAGGAGATAACAGTCCACAATTGCTTGAGACTGAGCCTGGCTAGCCCAGTTGATAAAGCCTGAGGTTAAAGAGAAGAAAGAATATTGGCCATTTTAAATGCAAACTGCAGGCCAGCTCTGCTGGCCTAGTAGTTAAGTTCAGCGCACTCCACTTCAGTAGCCTGGGTTTGGTCCCTGGATGCAGACGTACACTGCTCGTCTGTCAGTGGCCATGCTGTGGCAGTGGCCCACATACAAAAAGAGGAAGATTGGCAGCAGATGTTAGCTCAGGGTGAATCTCCCTCAGCAAAAATTAATTAATTAAATAAAATGCCAACTTCTAGAAAGGCTCTCTTGCCCAAAATCTAATTCCTTAAGATTACTTGTTTAGGCCAAATATAAATCTTAAAATGCTTCTTCTCCACAAATATAAACAAAAAAGGCTTTTAAGCAGGTAACTGTAACTTTCTCCATCTGCTAGAGACACAATTATTTATAAACTAGTGAGTTTTGTATTGTACCTGATTTATGGCTGAAGTTTTAAACAAAAGCCATAAAATCTCTGTTTGTGTCTCTCTATCTATATTATAGATATGGTATTTTTCTACCTCTGGGTGGTATTATCAAAATTAAATCTAAAACAGCTCTATTTTTTTTTATTGAGTTATTGACAGGTTACAATCTTGTGAAATTTCAATTGTACATTAATGTTTGTCAGTCATGTTGTAGGTGCACCACTTCACCCTTTGTGCCCACCCCCCACCCCACCTTTCCCCTGGTATCCACTAAACTGTTCTTGGTCCATAGTTTTAAATTCCTCATATGAGTGGAGTCATACACAGATTATCTTTCTCTTGCTGGCTTATTTCACTTAACATAATTCTCTCAAGGTCCATCCATGTTATTGCAAATGGAATGATTTTGTTCTGTTTTGCAGCTGAGTAGTATTCCATTGTACATATGTACCACATCTTCTTTATCCATTCGTCTGTTGATGGGCACTTAGGTTGCTTCCACGTCTTGGCTATTGTAAACAGTGCTGCAATAAACATTGGGGTGCACAGGACTTTTGGGATTGCTGACTTCAGGCTCTTTGGATAAATACCCAGTAGTGGGATGGCTGGATCATATGGTAGTTCTATTTTTAGTTTTTTGAGGAATCTCCATACTGTTTTCCATAGTGGCTGCACCAGTTTGCATTCCCACCAGCAGTGTATGAAGGTTCCTTTTCCTCCGCAACCTCTCCAACATTTGTTGCTATTAGTTTTAGATATTTTTGTCATTCTAACGGGTGTAAGGTGATATCTTAGTGTAGTTTTGATTTGCATTTCCCTGATGATCAGCGATGATGAGCATCTTTTCATGTGCCTATTGGCCATCAGTATATCTTCTTTGGAGAAATGTCTGTTCATGTCTCCAGCCCATTTTTTGATTGGGTTGTTTGATGTTTTGTGGTTGAGTTGCGAGAGTTCTTTATATATTAAGGATATTAAGCCTTTGTCAGATATATGACTTGCAAATATTTTTTCCCAGTTAGTAGGTTGTTTTTTTGTTTCAATCCTGTTTTCATTTGCCTTGAAGAAGCTCTTTAATCTGATGAAGTCCCATTTGTTTATTCTTTCTATTGTGTCCCTTCTCTGAGAAGGCATGGTGTCCGAAAAGATCCTTTTAATGCTGATGTCAAAGAGTGTACTGCCTACGTTTTCTTCCAGAAGCCTTATGGTTTCAGGTCTCACCTTTAGGTCTTTAATCCATTTTGAGTTTATTTTGGTGAATGGTGAAAAAGAATGGTCAATTTTCATTCTTTTACATGTGGCTTTCCAGTTTTCCCAGCACCATTTGTTGAAAAGACTTTCTTTTCTCCATTGTATGCCCTCAGCTCCTTTGTCAAAGATAAGCTGTCCATAGATGTGTGGTTTTATTTCTGGATTTTCAATTCTGTTCCATTGATCTGTGCACTTGTTTTTGTACCAGTACCATGCTGTTTTGATTACTGTAGCTTTGTAGTATGTTTTGAAGTCAGGGATTGTGATGCCTCCCGTAAAACAGCTCTATTTAATTGACTTAAAGTAAGCAGTTATATAAATCATTTCTAAAGATAATAGAAACTAACCCAAATGTTTTCAAGTTAACCTTACATGAAACAATTATTAGTAAATAAATGCTTGTTGTAACTTTGTTAGTTTAATTAAAATGGCATGTCTTCAGTTATCAGCACTGGATATAATGCAGACATGCAAGTTTTATTCTACCTAGGTTATTAGTCAAATGAGTTTATGTTATCTCTGTTACAAAATTTGTCAGCAAGAAGGAAAATAACTTAAGATAATCGTTAACTGTTTTAATGTCTCATGAAATTTTTATGAATAATCTATGAGTGTTAAGAACAAATGAATTATATAGATGTTAATGAAATAAGAGTTTTTTGGTGCAATAATTTTGTTTTATGGTTTGTGTACTTAAAAATAACTTCCCCAAATCTATTTGGTAACTTGAAACTTTATAGTTTTGCTAATTAAATTGGATAATGGGAAATTCATTGAACATCTAGATCATTTCCAGATAAGATAAAAATAGTAAAACATCAATTGATGAATATAGCTCTACCTACTTTTTGCTTCCTTTTACACAGAATTTAAAAGATTTGGGTCTATCAGTAAACATGTCTTGTGTCATACTGAGAAATTTTTGATGAGATAGCTCATGTTTCTAGAAATCATAAAAAGCATTTATAAGTTTGCCAATGCACAGAATGCTAATGTAAAAGACAGCTCATAATTGCTTACTTGCTACTTTTGATTAGAAACTAAGGTTTCTAAGGGTTAAGAATTCTAATTAATGTATGTAGTTAAAACTACTCAAAATAATAGGGGAAAAATCTCTGTTTGCCTGGGAAATAAGATGTATGGTTTTTGGTAAGAAAAGTATGTGGCACGGAGATGCAATTTTGTTGAAAGAAAAAAATAATTTTGTCCCAAAATAAAGCTGACTATTTCTGAATGAAAAAGAGAACAAGGGACAAACTAAAATGGGAATAGAAAGCTATAAAAGGTTTCTGGAAAAGGAAACTTTGAAAAGGGATTGGAATGAATGTAATTAAGTGAGTGAGTTTTCATACCAAAAATAAGAGTACAAAATTAAAATTTGGTTTTCTCTCTGCATTAAAAAGATAAATTAACTAGGAAGTGAGGAAGAGAGTGACATCAGCATTGTGGCAGAGTGAGACATTCCCTTTGTCTCTTCCCTCTAAGTTAGAACTAAATGGACATTCATTAGCCAACAGAAGATTCCCTACACAGCACAACAAGATGCCTGAGAGATCCACACCCTCATACATCTGAAAATGGGTGGACTGGATCCCCAGGAAGCAGTGGAATTAGGTGAGTGGAACCCACCCTTTCCCCAGTGGCAGCGATACAGGTCACGGGTACCCACACTGTGGTGGGTGCAAGTATAAGAGGAGGCAAGGGCAGCCTGGCCTGCAGGTGAATGATTTCAACATGGCAGCCTGGCATGCAGGAGCTCCCACCCTGCTGCAGTGGCCCTGTTTGTGGGCACACTTCCCACTGGGGCAGTGGCTCAGCCCCTGTGAAAGGGTCCTGCCTACCAAGCTCAGCAGCTCAGCCAAACCACCCATGACTGCAGAGCCAGCAGGCACAGGACAGAAAGCACCCTGCTCAGCACAGCAGCTCAGCCAGACCCTGCCATGCACAGTGGCACCACCACCCCCCTGCACTAGAGCAACCTGCTGGTGGAGCACAGAGCCCATGCCTGCACATGCATGCATGATCCACCAAGTGGCTGCAGACAGCCCACACAGATGCAGGGCAGCCCTACCTGTGCAACTTACAGCACAGGGGGCAGGATCAGAAAACATAGCTCCTGAGCCAGCTATGATGGCTTGGTGGTTAAAGTTTAGTGTGCTTCACTTTGGCAGCCCAGGTTCGGTTCCCAGGAGCAGAACCACTCCAGTCATCTGTCAGTAGCCATGCTATGCTGGCAACTCACATAGAAGAACCAGAAGAACTTACAACAATAGACAACTATGTACTGGTGCTTTGCAGGAGGAAAAGGAAGAAGAAAGGAGAAAGATAGGCAACAAAAGTTAGCTTAGGGTGAATCTTCCTCTGAAAAAAAGTTAAAGAGAAAAGGAACAAGAGAAAACACAGCTCCTGCTCCCCTTCCAGCAGTGGCAGGTGGAATCTATGACCTGGTACTACCACAAATGCTCCAGCAAAGGATCAATTCATCAAACACCTTGAAGAACTACAGTAATATTCCAGAGCAGAAGGAAAAGGACAATTCTCCAGAAACCAATCCTGAACTCACAGAAAATTACAATCTTAATGACAAATAATTAAAAATAGTTGTAATAAAGAAACTCAATGAGTTACAAGAAAATTCAGAAAGACAGTTCAATGATCTTAGGAATAAAATTAATGAGCAGAAGGAAGATTTCGCCAAAGAGATTAAAGCTCTAAAAAAAATGAAACAAATTCTGGATAGGAAGAGCACAATTAATGAGAAAAAAATAATCTAGAAACCATAAAAAATAGAGCTCACATTATGGAGGACAGAATTAGTGAATTAGAGGATGGAAATATAGAAATGCTTCAGGCAGAGGAGGAAAGAAAACTAAGGTTTTTTAAAAAATAAAGAAATTCTTAGGGAAATTCTGACTCAATTATGAAAATCAACAAAAGGATTATAGGTATTAAGAGGAAGAAGAGAGGGAAAAAGGAGCAGAGAATTTCGTCAAAGAAATAATAGCTATGAACTTCCCAAACCTGGGGAAAGAACTGGAATTAAAAGTACAGTAAGCCAATAGAACTCTTACATACATCAATGCAAAAAGACCTTCTCCAAGGCATATAATATTAAAACTGAAAAAAGTCAATGACAAAGGAAAAATATTAAGGGCAACAATGCAGAAGAACATAACCTACAAAGGAACCCCTATCAGGCTTCCAGTGGATTTCTCAGCAGAAACAGGCTAGCAGAGAAAAGAATGATACATTCAAAATGCTGAAACATAAAAAATTTCAGCGAAAAATACTCTACCCAGCAAAACTATCCTTCAGATACAATGGAGGGAAAAAATATTTCCAAAACAACAAAAGCTGAGGAAGTTCACCAGTAGGCCCGCCTTACAAGAAACATTGAAAGGAGGCCACCCATCTGAAACTAAAAGCAAATGTTTACAAAACCTTGAGCAAGGAGATAAACAGACAGATAGAATCAGAAAATTTCAGCTCTATATCAAAACAGGTTAGTAAACAC